GTCCAAAAGCATGGTGAGGTTAATTGGAGCTACCAAATTGCCCATTGGTGTGAATGGTGTGCCTTGCAATGTGTTGGTGCCCCATCCTGGGTTGTTCTCTGCCTTGTGCCCATAGGCTCTGGACCCCCTGTGACCCAGAATAGGAGAAGTGGTTACAGAAAATGTATGTGTCTGTGTGTTTGTGTGTGAGAGAGTCTGCCCTGTGGTGGATTGTCCCCTGCTGCTTCCTCTGAGCGACCCTGGGGGCTCACTGAAGCTCTTACAGAAGATAGATGGAAATATATATAATTAGCATATGTATATTTGGAATGCAAATTTCTAAACCCTGAATTCAGAGTCTGATAAACAACAGCATGTCTTGCATTAGCAAAGTAAGGCAGCAGCTAACAAGTGAACCATGTATAGACCTGCTCCTTATTTACACAGGGATTATACAGTGACAACACAGACAGATACATAAGGGCAACATTTCACTGCTGGGGGGTGCTGATAAAAGAGCAGGGACTCCGACCTCGTCCCAAATTAATGAAGAAATCAGGAAACAATCGGTTATTTCAGAACCTCTCTTTGCGATTATGTAAGCTGAACTGTTCAGAATGGACAGTTCTGAAAGTTCGATGTGAACAGATAAGCCTGTCGGACAGAATTGCGTGCCAGAATTTCCCTGCTGACGTTTCAGCCGTCTGGGAGTCAGCTGACCTTCAGCAGGTGCCAAAGACAGCTTTGGTGCTTGATAATGAGGTCAGCCTGCATAAACTAATGACCTCAGCAAAGACCGGTGAAACATTATTATGACAAGCCATGCATGTTAAAAGAGAGACTCTGAAACCCAGCTAGACTGAGCAGAAGGACACTGAGGTCATCTGCTCCACATCTCTGTCAGGCTCGTCCATGTGCAGTTTCACTCCACAGAGGTAGGGGGAGCCACACTCAGCAAGGTCCATTAACTATCTTCCTCACACACCCCATATTTGTAAGAACGTTTGTCAGCTGATCACCTCCTCTACAGTAGCAGAATGATAGCTAATGTAATTGATTGTGCTGTACAGAATGACTGGCTTATCCCACTAATGTTTAGAGTGCCTAACAAAATTGACTAATATACGGCCGTGGAAAAAATTAAGAGACCACTATATTTTTAAACAAATCTGCATTTTTAAATCCTGGTTTGATCCTGGTTCTGCTGGCAGGAGGCTACGCTGAGCAGCAGGTTGCTTCGGGCCTCAAAGTTTCTAAGACAGCAGCACAGAAGAATAAGGTGAAGCAGGAGACTCTGGGAGCGACCAGAAACCAGCCAGGTAGGGGGTGGAAGCGACTGACCGTTAACTTATCTGACAGTTTCTCATGAATCATAGGACGGCATCAAGTGACCTTCAGAAGGAATGGGAAGCATTAAGTGCAGGTGTGAAGTGCACTGCTAGGACAGTTTGTATCAGGCTCCTAGAAGGAAGACCGAAGTCCCATAAAGCAAGGAAGAAGCCCTTCATTAATGAGAAGCAGGGAAGAACCAGGCTGCAGTTTGCAAAAAATATATACTATTCACAGACACACACCCATATATTGAGAAATGAGTGAAACAAAAAACTGTGCTGTGGTCTCTTAATTTTCCCCAGGGCTGTATATATAAAATTATTGAAAAATGAAACACAAAGGTACAAAAATTCTAAGTCTAAGAGTCCAAATATACATATGAAGGGTATCCTTATTCTATTTCTACTACAGGCCGTTGTTGAGATAAGTACATTCTTTCCAAAGCACGGTACAGGATGTGCTTGTTCTACATGTTGTGCATCTTTCAGACATTGGTTAACAGTGAGTGTTCAAGTAAACAAGCCCTCTCCACCCACCTGATGAATATGTCATGGTGTCAACAGAGGTGGAAGATGAAAGTATAATTAGCAGATGTTACCCACATGGCTCTGCAACGGAGGACCGCAGCCGAGGGCTGGATTTAAATCCAGGCTGACAAACGGCCTGACTGAGGTCAGCATACCTGCCCCGCACAGACCAAAGTGGGTCATGGCCGAGGGGGGGAATTACTCAGCCGAAGTCGCCCACTTCAACTTTCATTTTTGTGGTTTGGAGACATGGAGAACTTCGCAGATAAACAACTTTCAGGTCACCTACAGTGAAGAGGGGGCCTGTATATCTGGCTGCTCAGTGGAAACAAAGACTGTTTGTTTGTTTGTTTACTGGTCATAAAAAGACAGATGAGAAAGCATGCAGATGTCAGGCCCTAACGTTGACTGAAAGGCGTGAAAGACCATGTTTTTTTCCATTGATTTAGTCTGATTATTTTTTAACTAATGCCACTAAGTTTTACTCACAACATTTCAGAAAATTACAAAGTAGAGAAGCAGGGTGACACCAACCTGACTCTAACTTACATAGCTACCTAATGCAGGGTATGGACCCCACATCCATCTGTCCCAAATTGGTAGACAGATCTTATTAACACTGGCAATAGCATGCAGAGTTTTCTACAGTCAGTGAAATAAAATGGTATGAGTTTGTCTCCTTGCTTTTGGTTGTAAGTTGCTGCTCTTTGGATGATGTTAAAGCTTGCGGCTGACAGGATGAAAGAAGCAGGAAACCAACAACATACTGACAGAGGAAATGGAGGGTGAAAAAAAATAAATAATAAAAAATAAATTATGTATATTTATATATATATATATTCCCAGCAAGCTTCTTGTTTTGTAAGTTTCTTCTGTCACATTGTCAAGATTGTTCTCCTGTCAGGTGCTGAAATTTAATTGTTGTTTATGAGTAGATAGACTCGTTTCTATGAATCACATCCTGTTTTTAAGTCTGTTCCCCCAGGTGGTTACAAATATGAACAGATAATTACACGTATATTGTGGATTCTTTTTACTTATGTACTTTCGCTGCCAAGTAAGCCACACATCTTTGGTTTATGTCATGTCTGCAAAGAGGTGCAGTCAGACGCGCAGATACGCTTCAGCTCTGTCGGGGACGCAGTACAAGTGATCGGTTTGATGTCAGCCCTCGATAACACATAAAAAAACTCGTAGAAGAATCTCCCCTTTCAGCGCGAGAGTGATCATACTGCCGGGCAAACTCTCACGCATCTGGCGTGACTATCACGCTTTCAGACTCTCATGCAAGAAATCTGGCGGCAAATCTACATTATTCCATTATGAACCTAAAATTTGTTACATCGAAAGTGTTGGGGTAGTTTGCAAACCCTATAGAATATTTACAAGGTGATAAAACTGTTTCATACATATAAATGCATGTGCACGTGTGTGCACACTATAGCCTCTAACTGAAAATCTCGCTCCAGCCAGCTGACCGAAGTTGGCAACCCTGATACTGAAACGGCCTGTGACAAGTGTACGTGTGTTGATCCTCTGTGCCAAGTGTGACCCAGAGTTAGATACTGTAACATTACCTAAAACGTATTAATATATGTCCCCAGTTCACTCAAAACCTGTCATGTCAGGCAAGGCTATGAAAGGTCGTCCTGTCCTGGAATAGCATGCCGCACAGGAGTGCCAGACTTGTGTGTGCCAAGTATCACGCCTCTGGCATAACGCATCTGCCACAAACTGGCGTCTGGCGAAGTGCACCCTACGTGTGGTTTACACGTTGGTTTACCAATAAATCGACATCCGACAGAGCGGTCCGAGTTCGCATGCAGTAGTGGGTGTTTTTGCACCACGGTAACGCAAGTCTGCAGAACCGTAATATGCTTATATAGGTTATAAAAAGGGAAGCGTACATGGTAACGGAAAATAACAGATCTTTACCCTACTGCAGCCGCTTGTCACCTTACTCCGGCGCATCAGACCGCACGCCTGCACCTGTCAGTGATAGAGGCGTTGCAGCCCGGGGCTACGTGTGTGTGTATGTGCGGGTAAATCGGAAAGGCAGTATTTTTCTTCTTTTTGCCCCTCAGCGGCCTGCTTAATAATAGCACCGGCTTCCTCCTGCTGTAGAGAGAGCCACCGCCGCCCAGGTCGTGTGGGCGACACAAGCCTCGGTTTAAACATTATACTAAAACGAGCAGAATCCTCCAGAACACACCGATGTGCAGTTTAGGCAATGCCTCCAATTATAGTGCTCCCTAATATCAGTCTTTCACGTGAAATACCGGCATAGGGAATATTGTGCATCACCGCATTCAGCTAGCGAGCTCGATGCAGACGAGGTCCGAAATCACTTAGGTTCTCTAGTGTCCTGATCGGTCGGCTACTCAGGCCCGCCTGCATTCCTTTCTTTTAAAATGTTGATTAAAAATGCAATATACTTTTCAAGCCCTTTGTAACCTGCTGTCATATCTTTTTAAATATTATATTGCTTTATTAAATATCCAGCATCACAGACTACAATAACTGTAAAATAAAATCAAAAACGTATTTCTGTCTTGCAAGCAACACTATCCTTTAAAAATAATAGCATCTATAAACTACAGAACACAGATACCTTCGCTTTTGACAAGTATACAGGAGTAACGGATGAAACCACTAGATGGCAGCGTTTTACAGTTTTTGCTGCCGCGAACGTGGGCCATTAGTATGTCCGCCATTATCTGACACGTCTGTATGGAAGGGAGGATCACCGTAGAGAGTGCAGCCTGTGTTTGTCAGAAAGTTTATAAATATGCCTTTTGTACGTCCAGTATGCAATACTTGTTCTGGAAATTTAAAAGGATAATAATCCTCAGTCGCATCGCAGCTGCGAAATTGGCGGCTTTGCTCTCCATGTCTGTATGGACATCCCAGGATAAAGGAAACAGCTGCTTTTGAAATGCCTGAATTATTACATAAATGCTCTCGGCCATATGGAAGCGTGGAATCCCCTGTCGCTTCCTCCGTTGCCATATGGAAACTAACATGCTATGGAGATGCACGACCAACACCCCTAAATCTTTATTAAGAATGTAGAATCAGTAGGACACGTGTATTCTGTTAACCAAAATGTGTGCTCTACATGCTTCACTCAGAACATCAGGCTAATAAGAGCAGACAGGGACGTTTGGAAAAAAATGCAATAAAATTTATTGTATCTCACAATCATTGACACGTGCAACATCTGACTAGAACAGTATATCAACACGGCTGCACATATTTACATATTCATCTATGTAACAAAATAGCAATACTGTGTAACTCTGCTGGATAGTGAACTCCACCTTGTAGTAACAACTTTCCCCACGGCCTGCACCTGCCAGGCAGAGGGTCGCGACCTTCAGTCAGACTAACACGGCGCTTCCTGCCTTCTCGCCTTCCGCCTGTACGCCATGGGAACGATCGGAAAGCCTTTCTGGCCTTTCACCTCATTTCTAAAGTGCATTAAAGGAAGATGTGTACAACCTGTTTAAATGGAAATGAATACAAAAAAAATCTTGTTTTGGGGGCTGATGGGGGCAGGGGGTGTGTAGCAGGGGCATGAATAATCTTGTGCCTAAAAACGGAGGGAAAATTACAATCCACATTTGCCTCAAATGCAATGTGCTTCTTTAAACGGGTGAAAAAATATGTATATATTTTCTGCCACATTCCCTATAACTGTGCCATTCTAACGATTTACAAAACTAGAAATCTGGACAGTCTGCATTCCCTTTGCACTGGAAATAAATGGTATATACTAATAAACCGTGATGATAGTATAGGATGCGAAGGCCGACCTGGCCGTTGCCATGGGATACCGCAGTTGCCATGGGAATGCAAACAAAGGCCCTCCTGTCGATAACGGCTGTGCTACGAAAATCCAGACGGGGGTCGTTTTCTGGGAAGTTTCGTTATGTAAAAAAAAAAAAAAATACTGAAATGCTGTATTATTTCCCCTACAAATAAGCTGTGATACATGTGCGCTACAAAGAAAAATCTCTCAATGGTTTGACACACCCGCGTCACAACTTTAATCGACATCCTGCAGAGTGAATAAAAGTCACTAAGATGTAGGGGACACCAGCCAATTAGACTGGAAATCGGGCTCTCTCAAGACCGAGAGCCATCTGAGGAGTGGGCGGCCTCGTTTACGTGTTGCGGCATGACGAAGGCAGGATTAATGAAAGACACCAGTATGGAGCCATCGGGGAGACATGGCATCATGGGCAATTCCCACAGTTGCTAGGAAGAATGGAAAACAAAACAAAAGGCACTTGAGCCAGGCAAGAGAGCACATGGAAAAGAGCGGTCACCGATTCTGTAGACATATGTGACACGCATGGCTTGACTGGACTGAAAAAGCGACAGAAATATAAGACGACACAGCAAAAGAAATGAATACCAACATGGGGCTTTTTTGTTTAGCCTGGGGGGGTGGAGGGGTGTATTGATCGGAATAACTGGAAACTGTGCTTGATATTCTCAGGCCAGGGTCAGAAACACACTTTTCAATTAACCTGGGGCCAATAGAAAATCTTGTCATTCTAGGGGCGCGGTAGCTGGGCAAGCATCAGACCACGTTTTCGCAAAGCAAGGCTACGAGCGATTAAACCTCCCACAAGTCAAGCCCGCTGCAGTGAGGCATATTCGCACTGAATCGGTTTGGGATTAAAGCCTTAAAGGATTAAATTCCTCCCAGAGAAGTGTGACACGAAACGCCCACGACCAGTAAAAACGGGATCAAAAGCTCCAGCAATCTTCTGCTGCCGTGACAAATGTGCTTCTGTCTGCCCAGACTAGCTGGGATTCTCAACTCGTCCCAGTGGACATGCTGACCTGTGGCCTTGTGTGTGTGCCAGGCTGGTGGGTCACCCACGTGTGGTGATGGGGCAGGGGACCTAACTTTAAATTAGGACCATTTAGATCAGTGAACTCAGACCCCCCCCCCCCAATTTGAAAACATTGGCAAAAATCTCTGAAAAGCTTCCAAATAGGTGACTGACACTGTGCACACCATGTAATTCTATCATGTATTACAATGGAAACTGGTGCACGAGAGCACCACCTAGGAACAAGCAGAGGAATGACATCTGCCATAGTGATCACGGTCCCTTCACTTGCCAGCTTACCACCTCATCTGTCCCTGTCCAGCTACTGCAAAATATGGAAAGACCCCACCCTTACAATCAACAGTTCAGAACCAGAAAAAAATCTGGTATCTTGAGTCTTCATCTTGTTCATTTGCACAGCAGTATGCAAACACCTTAAAACAAGATTTCAAGAAGATACGTGGTCTGCTCTCAGGTTTTTAAGATAAATTAAAGGACATTTATGTAAAATGCTCTGGTTATAAAAGCAGGCACCAAAGTAGCAAAGTAATTTGATTAACGCAAAGAGGGATAGGGTGGACGACTTGGTATAATCTGTTTGTTTTTTTTTTCGATTTTAGTAACACAGCATGGGGATCCGCCCCCAGTAAGGCGCGATCCTGCCGATTTTAATAAGCTCAAGTGGCAGAATGGATACAGTTTGCATCCCGCAGGGGACAGAGTGTCCTGCTGGGGAGAAGATCCCATCGCCTCTCGAAGCGTGATCTGCCTCTTTGGTTGCATGACACAGAGACGGCGGCGACCGGGGATTTATGGGGGCGTTAACACCACATTAAAGCGCGTAATAAGGGGCAGGATGGCGTTAAAACCTCTTTAAAGCGTGTAATACAGTAAAAAGACTCCTCGATCCACAACATTCGGAGACTATGTAAACATGGATTTCTTTTTTCTTCAATCCCCAACTACAAAAATAAAACTTTCGATACTAAAATAAAGGTCATCTGTCAGATTTCAGCTTTCCTCCGTTCGTGATCACACACCTTCAAGCCTTAAAAATAATAATGAAATCCGAGCTCAGCGATGCCAAGGAAATGTAGTTAAAACTGTAAATAACTAATACTAATTAATTAGCAGAACGGCTTATTTTACTTTCCTAAGTGCACGCAGGCTGTCCCCTCCAGTTGCCTGTTCCCGTGGTAACGGTCCATTTGTGCGTCTCGTGATCTGGCGCGCGTTCCGCCCGCGTTTGTGTTCAGACCGGAAGCGCGCGTGCGAGGAAAACGCCAAAGCGGAACTACTGGGCAGCTTGGAGCACGAGCAGAACTCGGTTTGGTACAGTAGGCCGGGCCAATGCTGTACCGGGACGGCATCTGCATAGTCCGCTGCAGTGTTAAGTCGACAAGCTGTATAGTTCGTTGACCCGTTTTCTGCAGTGAAACCACCGTATAATGCCTGAGTAGGACAGAAACTCATACGACTCCAACGCATAAGGGGAAGGTTTGGGGGAGGGGATTACGAGCACCTGCAAGAAAATGACAAACTGGTCTACAGATTGAAGACAAAAAAAAAATTCTCAAACTAAAAAGGACCTAAATTATTATACCATCTAGGAAAAAATAGATGGTTGCAGAAAGATGTTTACAGTGTGATCACAGAACAATTCACTGCCCGTCAGAACAGGCCAATGGCCACCAGCAAATCCAGGATACAGTAACTGCAAGCAAGTGCTGTATGCAATATATATATCTATATATATGCGAAAGTTGTGTCTCTTCCTGGAATAGTTTGGCAGTGATCTCGTAAAAAGAAATCAACGTGAGATTTCCACAGTCGAGAGAAAATGTGTCAAAATGGCAACGTCCAGAGCTCGACGACGATGTCGTCCTTGGAACACAATAATAAAAAGAAAATCTGGGATTTTTCCCGCCCTGTTTTCAAGCCAGCTGTAAAGATCTTAAAAAAAAGAGCATCAGGTGAGACGAACCCAGCTGATGATGTGCAAATTCAGAATAGAAGCAAGAGAGAGAGAGAGAGAGACAGAAAGATGGAAAGACAGAGAGAGATAATATCGCTGTGTTTCTATTGCTTATCTGATTCACTGTGGTCCAGAACACCTATAAGAGGAGTTCAGGTCATCCTGTAAGCCCCGCCCACCCCCCAATACACTGCTGATTGGCTCTGCTCAGGACTTGACCTCCTCCCGCTCCTGTTCAGAAGACAGCTCCATGTCAGAGAGCCCCGCCTCCACAGCCATGATGAGGGAGGTGTCCGAGTCACTACTCATGGGGGGCTGGTGCTCACCTGGGGGGGTTGGGGTGGAAGAGATGAGCAATACGTTAGGTAGCTCACTGACACCAATATGCACAATACCTGGAAATGTATTCTTGCTCTAGAGTAGTTCTTTTTTCCAACCCAGTCCTCAGGGAACCCCAGAGAGTCCACATTTTTGCTCCCTCCCTGCTCCCAATTCACCTGCACCGGGTATTCGGTGTTCCTGATTGGTTGGGTGACTGTTGGGAGCTGGGAGGGAGCAAATACGCGGATTGCCGGGCGGTCCCTGAGGACTGGACTGAGAAACCTGGCCCTAGAGCTCCACCGGACTAAAATCGCAAACATGGGTAGTTATTCTGGGCCCAGGGCAGATACTTATGTCAGAAGGATCATCGAAGGCCAGTGACAGGTCAGAACCAGACGCTTTTGATAACGAGGTGTATAAATATTTACTGCTCTAACACTCTGTAACACACCGTCTACACTGCTCTTGGGTCTGAAACCTTGTCTGCCTACTAAGGAAATAAAAATATGAATAGAAAATACCATTATTCTCACTGGCTTCCCAGTTGAACAGTAACCAAATGTGTCAGCTTGGCTGATGTCAATGCGGCCTGGTTGCCATGGCAGTGGCTGGTTACCTCCAGACCCCAAACCCTGAGCGACCGTGGATGTGCGGTTACCTGACAGCAGTGTGCATCGCTATGGTAACAGCGCCCCATAAAACACGGCCCAGCAGCAGCACCAAAATCTTATACAGGTGGCGCCCCCTGCCCATGGGCAAATTCACAGCAAGGGGGCTCTTACTGACTGATGTCCCAAAATCAGAGGAATAATGACTTTGAACAATGATTTGATTTCCTGTCAGATAAGCTTCAGAGGAAATGTTGATTCCGCTGTTAGTGTAATGTTTAAATCCCTAACGAGTTCGTCTTATGTCATTACCCAAGAGCCAATCTAACGTTAAGATCGAAATTATGCACTGGCCACTGGGTGGCGCTATACAAGCAGTCTTATCCTGCGTTTTCCCTACACTGTGATGTAACATCCCACCATTGCTAAGAATCAATGTGATTCTCCAACAGCCCATAATTAGAAAGGCTGCGGCTTCAGGAGATAACCTATTTATAGAAGGTTATCGGTATTGCGATATCGCCAATTAATCCTTTTCACAACAGCTTCTGCTGGACAGATTTCTGAATCCCAAAACACAGTCATTCACACCACTCTTGCATGAAAAGCCACTGTGAACGCACACTAAGCATTAGCCCCCCCCCCCCCCCCACACATACACACACAAAAAGGACTGACTCCTCTCTCCTCATCAGAGCAGCATACTGAGAACATTTTTGGTGCAGTGGGAGGATTGACAGTGAGGGCGGCACTGCGCCAAGGTAAACACAGAGAGTCAAGTGTCATGGTACAAAGAAAGGAAGAAGAAAACACAACCCTGTAAGCAAAAAAAACAAAAAAACAACATCACATCCACAAGCTGTCACTTGATATATTTTTGCGCGTGACCTGCAATAGAATAGTCTGCTTATATTTTTAGACAGGACAGACAGGCCCTGCATAAGCGGGACTCAATAGGAACCGGGCCCACACAAACCCGAGCCAATAGTAAGGGGGTCGACAAGCCACAGCCAATAGGGACGGGGCCCCCACAAGTCATAGCCAACGGGGCCAGAGCCCCAGATGCCACGGCCAATAGGGACGGGGTCCACACAAGCCACAGCCAATAGGGATAGGGCCCACACAAGCCACAGCCAATATTGACAGGGCCCACAAAAGCCACAGCCAATAGGGACGGGGCCCACAAAAGCCACAGCCAATAGGGATCCTGTACAGTGAGCTACATGGAAAAACATAACAGCGGCATGAGAACATGGACTCACTGCTGGCAATGTGGCGGCTCTCTCCAGCCTGAGCAAGGGGATCTACGTCTGGGAGGACTTGAGGAAGGCTAACTGTCCCTGCCCCAGGGTCCAGCACCACCGAACTCTCGTTTGCCGTGAGGTCACTGGCACCCGACAACTGATTGGTGGGCGGGCCGCCCACTGAGACCTCGTAGTCTGGCGGGACGTCGTCAGAGCAGTCGGCGTTGGGCTGGGAGTAAAGAGCACAGGTTGGTGAGCATAGTCTATGCGTTGAATAGGGCCCAAAGGTCACAGGATAAGGGTTGAGAGTTGAGACGTACAGGGATGCCCAGAGCCTTTAGGATGTTCATCTTGCACATGGGACAAGTCCGGTGGTCCTGCAGCCAAGGGTCAACGCAGTTCTTGTGGAAGACATGCCTGGAAGGATGAAAAAAAAAAATGACACAAATCGTATCAAGGGTGCCATACAAACACACCTCAATGGATACCTGTGGGCAAACCTCATTTCTTCAAGCACTTTCCTCTTTAATATAAAGCAGGCTTCAGGACCACCAGACTGTCCATATTTTTGTTCTTTCCCAGCTCCCAGCAAACCTGAACCAAACAATCAAGAACCCCGAAAACTTGGTACTCGTACATGTGCTCTGGGAGCTGGGAGAGAACACAAAATGTGGACTGTTTGGGGATCCCCCCAAAAACACTGGAATTCAGAAATGACCCAAACCTAAAACCAGCCAAGCAAGTAACACAACAGCTCTTCCGATATTACCAGGTTTGCCCAACCTCAGATGCAGACAGGAGCACCTTTCGGCCGGTTTTCATCCCCGCGACACCAGTAACCTCACCTGCATGGGAGGATTCTAACCACATCGTTCTGCTTGTAGCCCTCAATGCAGACAGCACAGTTGTCAAAGTCTGACTCCATCTCCTGAAAAGTGTGACAGATCAGTGAATCACTAAAATACCCTCAAACACCTAGAGTCGGTTCACATTTTCGCTCCCTCTGAGCTCCCTGCCAGACAGTCCACATGGGAGCAAAAATGCGAACTGTCTGTGGGTCCCCAAGGACCAGATTGGGAAACTCAGCCTTAAAGAAACAAAGATTTATTTGACTTTTCTCACACAAAAAATGAGGTGAAATGTTTAATCCAGGGGTGGGGAACCTGTCCCATGGAGGGCCGGTGTGTCAGCCAATAACAGTGGGTCCCCAGGACTGGAGTTGAGAACTGCTGCTTTATTATTGGTTGATTGAGAGGCAATCCCAAAAAACCCACACCCACACTGGCCCTCCACAGAATAGGTTCCCCACCCCTGGTTTAATCAATCAATCAATTAATCCATCCATCCATCACTGCTTGTCTAGCACAGGGTTGTAATGAAACTGAAGTCAATCCCATAAGACACAAGACGAAGGGCATGGGCACATGCTGGATGGAATGCCATCACATCACATGGGGCTACCTGGAGGAAACTACCGCAAGCTGGGGGTGGGGGGGGGGGAGGCATGCAAACTCCACACATACACGGTCGGGGGAGGGAATCGAACACACAGCTCAGGAGGAGGGAGTCTGCAGCGTCCCCCATAATAGGAACACGTCGCAGAAATCAAACGCTCTGATCAACAAAAGATGACGGCAGGCTCGGTAATGAGCAGGGAAGGCCTCCTGGCGGCTCTGATCTTACCTTGTCTCCCTTCCTGATGGTTCGCACCTGCAGCTTGCTGATCGCCTTCTTAGCCGCGTCCCCGAGGCGCCTCTGCAGAGATGAGGGATTAATGAGCGCTTAGCGAGCTCCCGGGTCACCGAGGACGTGTGGAGATGGCAGATAATTATGGCAAAACGAGCGCGGCGCTGCACGCCGACGCGCACCGAAGCCTCCGGCGAGGTGTTACACCGTTTTACTTCATCTTGACGGATTTGGCGTGAAACGATGCAGTGAAGTTGCTGACGGCACTCAGTCGTTAGCAGGAAAACCGCAACAAGAAGTTTTTTCTTCTTAGCAAGAACTACAGCGCTCCAGGGTCTGAGCCACACCCACCACGTTAACCTGAAGGTCCCACCTGCCAAAAATCTACATAAACGCATTTCGCAATGTACTTGGCAGCCGGTGACACCCCTCCCATGGGGTCTGCCCCCCCCCCACCCCCGCTGGTCTGCGGGTTTCCTCAGTCAGAAAGCTATGCCTGGCAAACAAACGGCATGAAAAGCCAAACGAAAGGGATCAGACGAGCGCCAACGTGTTTGTCATAAAATACTCATGAAGTTAATTGACGATAGTGACGTATTCATTTTTGCATCGGAGTTCAGCAGCTTCTCTGGGGCAGGAAAGCGGAGCCGGGACCGAACTCCCTGCCCAATTCCTTCTACGGTAACGGCAAACAAGTCGGGACCTTAGACCCCGTCGGCATACTGAGGGAGCACCGCAATGAGAATCACGGGGATGCCAGTCTAAAGGACGCCTTCAGAAGAACTGCCGGCACCGCGTGGTGCCGGGGTTCAAATCCATCTGGATAGCTGACATAATTGGAGCTTAGGACCGTGCTCATAAGGGTGACACCCCTGCAGTGACAGTTATTACACAGGGACAGAGACCGGGGACCGTGACAGAATGACCTTGGGTCAAATGAGATGTTCGACTTAACTTTAAAATGTATTAAAATTGCAGGGGAAAGAAGATGGAGATTTCGGGTTATTGGTGATGTCACTTCCTGTTCCCATGATCACATCAAGGCCCCGTACAAGAGTCTACATCTTTAAAACGCAACTGAACTAACCAATGATGTGGTACCACAGCCTGAACAAAGTTCTATAATCCCAATAATACCAACATTTGAGAGGAAAAATTGGCTATTATCGTCACGATAGTTCTTATCGTGACTACAGGAACACGAATTTGGTTTGGTATGGTCGACCGGCTGGAGACGGTCCCTCACCTGGTTGCGGTCACGGGCGTTGGCGTAGCGGAACCTCTGGATGTAGTAGAAGACGAGCCAGGCCAGCGAGATGATCATGAGGACGATGAAGGAGATGGAGACGAAGACCACGGAGGTGCGGCTCACGTACTTCTGCAGGTTCCGCGTGCCGATGGTGATGTGCATGGTCACCGTCACGTTCCTCTCCAGCAGGGCGGCGATCTCGCGCCCTTTGGGCTCCGGAATCATGATGGCCACAATGTCCCCAGTACCTGCCAGGACGGGGGTGGGGGGGAGGTGACAGGTCATCATGAGCAATGCGGGCTACAACTTGCGCAAATGGTGTTAACCTGCAGCTTGTGACCATGACAACCCTGTCTGTCTTGGTGATCTGCAGTCCCTCAGAATTATGGGAAATACTTTCCGGTGACGTCTGAAGACTCCACTTCTGGACCACGTCTCTCTGAACAATCCTGAGACCGACGCCGCATCACTATTCACGTTAAAATGTGTCAGATGGAGGTGATTTAACCAAACCTGAATTTGCAGTCCTCCCTCGGTCAGCCACGGGGGGGTTAGTCATGGCTCCTGTGACGCACACGTCCGCTACCTGCTTGCATGCGAACGGGGCAGCATCCCAGCGGCGCGCGTGTAAAAACCAGGACACACCAGTCTCAAGACGGAGGCTGATTGTCCAGCCACCACCAAAGTGGGGCAGCTTCTCTCAGCGTGCCGGCCCCCTCTCTGGGGACAGTGCAGAGTGCATATAGGAGATGGGTGGGGGCGACGGTGGGTGTGTGTGAGGAGTAAGCATAAAATCGTAGCACAAATCGTGAGGACAGTTGGATAATGTGCAGTCATTAGTCGATTTTCTATAGAGCAGTTCTCAAACAGCCATATGAGTACCATCACAGCGCCCCCTGGTGGCATGGGAGATGTGATCATTCGTTACTGGGATTCAGATTACTGTGATTTTCTTTTTCATCCGTATGGTACTTGGCTGCTTTGGCTAGACCCACAGCAGTACTTAGTCCAAAAACTTTGAGAACCACTTCCGCAAACCGTTTCCCTTGAGTTCATGCCCGCTTGGGGCTTTCACAAAGCTGCTCATGAAACACACGGGATGGAAGGTACTTCTCAACCTCACGGCCAGCGAGGAACGACAACGGGGGCAGTGAGAAGCCCTTCAGATCGTAGCCTCTGGCCTCCCCGAAAAACCTGGCAGGCCGAGATGGCCCCGTGACTGACACCTACAGCTCTGCACTTCTCCGACGGGCACGATAAAGTGAACCCTGAAGAAACCACTCAGCGATGACCTCCCGCTGTGCCCTCACCTGGCCTCGGAGATCGCCGAGGGAGATCTGACCCGTGAAGACGCAACAGCTGGGCGAATGTCTCGCGCGAGCGTCTTACGTAAACGTCTGCAACCGAACGAGAAACAGCAAGCACTCCCAAGCCAAGGCGATGACTCACCGTGGCAAAAGCAGCAGAGTGAGGTCAAACGCTCAAGTTATGCACAAACTGATAAACCCAGACGAACTCCGGCAAGATAATCCAGCCTCATGTATGCATTGGCCCCAAGGAAATTGGCTAAAATTCCCTGAACTCACCCCCAGAATGCCAGGTTTTCCTCCAAAGCTAATACTCAATTTTACCCTACAAGACCAGCAGCAAGTCTGACCATTTACGGTTACATGCCTGGTTCTTGGGCTTGGCACTGATTTAGCCTGCTGGAGGAAAGAGCCAAAACCGGAGCCAGATACAACAGGCACACCTCCACTAACATGCTCAGGGTAATCAGACCCTAACTCAGCAAGCAGGGACGTAGGACAACTTATCGCTTACAGAAACACCTTATGTACACACACAATACCCACACTTTACTGGAGTCTGAGCCACACAAAAGCTTATTCAACTAAAGACTTAACACTCCTCTGGTGTTTTGTAGGGCACGTGGCAAAATCAGCCCCAAATGGACATAGGTGAGGTAGCTCCTCCTCTCATGTGGTTCCTGGTTAGGTCCAGATAGGCACTGTCCATTAGCCTAGGCCCAGCACTGGCACAAGCTCTATGTTCACCCACCACTGGATGCACATGTGGTGAGTGGGCATAGTTGCCGCGGGAACCACAAATCACCCACAAGGAAATGGCGAGTATTACATAGCAGTCGCAGTCACCGGAGATCCTGTCAAAGGCAGATGGCCAGAGATCAGTCACTGTCCACAAGTTAACCAAATGGGAAAGACGCGGTGGTCAGGGAACAGGACTACAGGGATGTCACTTCCTGCAGCATTCCGCCCAATCCACTAATAGCCTGAGGACTAGAGTGTCACGTCTTGGGCAGCCTGGGTTTAGCATGTTAAGCACCGCGCCCATCTGTGGTATCTAAGAACGCTTCCCGGTGGATGTGGGGGACACTGGATGTCCCTCCGGCTCCAGGCAACCGATGTCCACAGTCTGCCAGCCCAGCGCTGGCCTCTCAGCATCCAAGACGCCGGAGAGATAAGAAAAGCAGCGACAGAAATAGGAGGGTCTATAAATAATCGGCTACTGTGCCGAGCGGCCGAGCCACCAGGTGTCGTGACGGCGCATGGGGTCAGCGCGGGGGGGGGGGGGGGGTTTGTTTATTCTAAAACTTTACACTGCCCGTCTGGGTTGTATAGTGTCAGCGATCCGACGTATGACCTTTATGTGACCAGCTGCAACCACCCCCCCCCCCCCACTCCACTGACACCTGGCGCCTGTATTTAGTCCTATAGGTCACCGTCTAAATTCGGGGACAGCTCACGGCTGCCCTTCTGGTGGCTATGGGACGGCCACCCATTCTCCCACGCACACCCATCGGAAGCCTCTCTGTGCCCCCCAATGGCCCCCCCCCCCCCACCCCCACCCCCCCAATCTAACACGACGCCCCACTCAGCCAACCGCCTACAGTTCTATAACAAGCACAAACTAGGGCACACTTGTGACACTGCTTCACCAAACCGGCCCATTAATCACCAAGGCAGCCTTCTTCCGATTACAGTCACCTTGGTGGGAAAACCCAACAAACCACTGACATTGGCTTGACCTTTAACGCTCGTGGAGTAAGTCGTTGGCCCCAAGGCGACTCGATTCACTTACGATTATTTATTGAGCGAGTCGATCTTTAATTTCAGATTCAATCTGATTAATCGATTACCTCGATTAACTCAAAATCAAACCTTTTTTGAGCTCGCGAAAATTTCACAAATATGGAACTCCTGTCCCACCAAACACCACCAAAAGCTTCTGCGCTTCGCACGACCAAACTCCACGCCTCGTAGATGTTAAAGTCTCCGCCTGAGGGATCTCGTTAACTGACGAGCCAGTGGTGCACAGATGTGGAAATTCCAGCTAATAACCAATACAGATTTCCGGCTAACCTCTAAGGTCCAGAAATCAGTAGCAGAACCGACGGAAACGTTATTTCCGAATATCCTGTGAACATGTGCAACCACCACGTCGCATAATGCAGGCAATGAGACGTCAACAGAGAAGCGCTGGATCGGGAGTCTATAGCGAGGTTTAAAGCGGCGAAGGACCAGACGAAATTCCTCATCCTTGACTACGGAAAATGGCGGATCAACCAATGGGATCATCTCCATTATTTTAGTAGCTATGTATTTAGCTCTGCTGCCGTACTTTGAATGTTGACTAAAATCTAAATATCGGCCAGGAATATCAACCCAGACTGACGCATCAGGCTGATGATGTCTCCTCTGAACCCCCTGTCGCTCAGGGACAGGGGACACTCCAGGGAGAAGGGACGGGGGACACCCCAGCGGCTGACGCAGTGACCTGTCCCACTATGGCAACAAAACTCCACAAGGAAGTGCAGGTCCCCACAAGAAAAAGGATGGCACACATGGTAGGCAGAGACAGCGTGGCGTAGAATCAATATTCCGTCATAACACAAAGCATGTGTGTCCCGTTCCAGCCAATCAACTCGTGTCTTATTTTACAATTGATACCTTTATAAGGGAAGGGGAGGGGGAAAATAAGATCAGTAAACACTACTTGGCAAATAAAAAAAAAGCTACCCCCAAACTACTGGAAATATTTAAGAAAATAATGCAGCGGCTAATCAAGGCAGCTCATAAAAACTGAATCAAGGCAGAGCGGCAATAAACTCTCAGACTTCAGGAGGTGTGTGACTGGTGTGTGAGGAAGGCTTTGGGTTCAGGGTAGGCGGTCTTCTGTGTACTTCTGTGACCAGAAGTCAGATTGACTCAATTTTCACTCAAAACCTCACAAAAAGCTAACATTACAGGCTGGACATTCCACAGTACCACAGCCAGAACCCGTCCAAAGCAGAAGTACCCGACACCTTTGCAACACTAATTTCAGTGAACAACGGCACGTGCCGTTTGCTAACCGCTAAACCGCTAGCACGAGATGCAACATAGAACAAGACGTCAGCATGTTTTTCTGATGTCTGGCTTTGCCCAAAGCCGGTCCGTCCATTTTCATGATCCGATAATCCGGCCATTTTACCGAGCGGCTCAGGCCGTAACTCAGCCCGAATGGTACATTTGCATCCGCACAGAACCTGATGTGAGCGAACTGGACGTTTCCTACAAAAAGGCCACAACCCAAAAAAAAAAAAAGAAACCAAGATCTGCATAAAAACCACAGCCCACAAAACCCAGATGTTAGACGACCATTTTCCCTGCGGTGTCACTCTACCAGGCAGCCAAAAATAAAACATGGCAGCAACAAAATCTTCATAGTCAACCCATTCATTCATCCGTTTAACACTATCAGAAAGCCAGATTTCTGTTAAACCTGCTTAGGGTAACAAGGTTTATGCTCACTTTAGTGGCTGAACCATATCAGAGAGAGAAATACGCTTCGTCTAAATGCCCACATGTCCAACAACAACAAAGAAAACAAAAACAAGGAGGCATTAGTTGTCGGCCAGCACGTGCGCAGGGAAAATCTATGAATTTTTTTGGTAGTTCATCTTCATCCAGCATCACACGTCCTACCACAAAAACAGTCTCGGGTCTCTTTGTTATGGAACGCAACCTGGCAGGCCTGCCTGACCCCGGAGGCCTGACCACGGCCAGGAGAAGCACAGAGAGCTTTTGTGCAAAATACGCAGCCTCATAAAGCACAATCGGCACGTTGAGCCGCCTCCCCTTGACTCGGTGCAGGAACAGTGCTGTCTTGTCCAGCTGTCTACATTAATGCACCTGGACTTTGGGCACAGATCTAGAGGCGCACGGCTTTGCAGCACAAAGAACGCAGTGTTGTTCCCTCACCTCCAGCACAGAATCCTACATTAGGCTAATCGAAGGACAGCTTGTACTTAACTGGTTTCTGTCCTGGATGTGCAGAAATACAGTGAATCGAGAAGAAGAAAAAAAATCTGCCTAGTGATCTTTATGCCAAATACCCATCGCAGCTTTACTGACTTTGCAGCTCAGCCATCAGTTTTTCCAAGTATAAATTTATGTTCGCGGCCCCCGGGCATTTGACTCAGTTCCATCCTCCCCAGGATGACATTGTCCTTGTCTGAGAAGCAGGCAAGACTCATAACTCAGAGACCTAATCTGTACTTCTGACGCAACAGGGTACAACAACTGTTTTCCCAGAGACACCAAAAGGCAAAGACAGAAAAAAAATGTCTGGTCCAGACACGATCATTGCTTAAATGAAGCTGGGTCTTTTAATTTGGATATTTTAGCGCCTAAACTAAGAAGCTGAAAGGGAATTAAATACTGTAGACAACAGTAGTTTTTTGACTCGATGCACTAGAAAACAAATTCTGTAATAATTATTCTTTTATTTCACAGGAGACATTGAAATCTGTACATCTAAACACTGAAACAAGGAACAGATAATCGTACTAATAATATAGACGTTAATGATAAATCGTCTCTTACATGCACTCCTCTACATATACTAACCTTAGGACTATCCATAAGCAAACAGGCCTTTCTTTTGCAATCCTGTGAAATAACAAGGCTGCATACGGGACAATCGATGACCTGGACAGACTCCAGAACTGGACACTCATTTGTATCCAGCGTTAACTTAACCCCCCACCCTAATAAAACCTGCTTGCTGATCATCTGCCAGTGGTTACTTTTATGCAGTTTACTGTAAACACCTTAACAGGCACATCTCAGCAGCCGCAGGGGGAGGGGGAGGGGGGGAGACGCAGGGGGACCTCCGCGTCCCCGCGAGCCTGCACCGTGGCATGCATCCCTCGCCGCGTGCATGCCGATGGCAGTGCCAGGCGCTCACCTTGATGCGGCATGGTGATCGTTTCGTTGGCATTGCCGGACCCCACGTTATAAATGACCACCGCCGATGCGTTGCGGCTGGCGGCATTCCGGATCTTTTCCTTGTAAGTGCAATTGCCCCTGGCGATCAAAGCGACCCAGGGCCCTCCGTCTGGTGGGAGGGCGAAGCGAGTGGCAGGGTCGCAGGTTTGTCGGTCGTGGGTGGAGGAGGGCATCGCCACCACCCCCCTGGCGTCCCTCTTCGGGGAGTGCTCGCCGTAGCGGCCGCACTCGGTCTTCTCCGTCACGGTCTCCGAGCTCAGCGGGTCCCGGTAGGTGATGTTGACGAAGGCGGTGTACCACTCCTCTTTCTCCGCCACGGTGAAGTCCAAACACAGCAGGTGCACGAAGCAGAAGGAGAGCAGCCATGTTGACAGAGCCAGACTGCGGCAGGCTCGGATAAGGGATGCTGCCATGTTTTCCGAGGCTCCTAACTGTCCCCCCTCCTCCTGCTCCCTCCTTTCCGCCGACTAGCTATAAGCTCCCCTGGCCTGGGTTTATTTCTTCTTGCGCTCCAGACAAAGTGCACTGAAAGGGCGAAGCCGGCTGCCTCTGCTCGCCAGACTTGCCCGGTGACCGCAGCATTAGCCTACTGGCCCCGCAAAGCGCCGTCGCCGGAGCGCAGGGTGCAGGAGCACCGCACCATATCGCGGATCCGGGGCGTCTGTGTGGCCTGAGATGTTGTGAGCTGGGTCCAGGGGTTGCCAGATTTCGCCTTAGCTATCCCCCCCATGGCCGCGGATCTTCTCTCTAGGATCAGTGATAGCCCCCTAATGACCGTATAGGGGAAAACATCGTTACATCTTAATAAAAACAGCCCCATTTCAAACCTTCAAAAATTAACCCGAGAATGCTGCCATGCTGCTTTTTCTCTAAAATAATAACCAGTCACCAACTGGACACGACAACGAGGATAAGTGTTTATGCATGAATGTTTCCTATTATTATTTTCGATTTTTGATTTTTATGTATTCCGATAAACCCCACGCTACCAACACATTTTTTTGTAGCGTGGGGATATTAGAAAATGTAGCAATTATTCTGATCCCAAATCTGGCAACCCGACCGTGTTGCCAAAAACAATGTAGCAGAGCTGTTAGTTTAATAGCGTCATCTGCTGGCAGGGAGTCAAATGTGCGCAAATACGAAAAGAATTTTAAGAAAAGTATGGCCCTGGGAAGCGCTTACATTCCAACTAGAATGTCTCATCACTCATCATATATCGTGTCCCAAGTTTTCCCGCGAAAGGCTCCGCGCAGGCGCACTGATAAATGGTTATAGAAAATCGATTGATGAATCGATATTTAACTTGATTTTTTTTCCGGCCCAAGACAGAATCGCATACAAATGCTCTGCATATTGAGCTACACACGCATAACAAAGTAAGAACACAAGTATTAATATAAACCAATAAAACACTGAGTGCTTCTGTATGCATATGTATATACAAGGTGGAAGTATGTAGGTAATAAATAGTGGTAAAGTTTTGTCCCACTGATCCCATGGGTAAGAGAACGTAGCACTTAAATGCAGTGAACAGTTATTTAACAGAGTTCAGTTCTTTGATAACACTCGGGTAGAAGAAACGTTCACTTAAAGCAACCAACGTTCACTTATATGACTATCCATTTTTCTGTGGACAATAATAACTAAAGTGTAGAATTTTTTTTTCCCCTTAGCAAGATGATAAGTGTTCATTTCCCTGTACCTTAGCCTCAGTGCCCAGTAATCGTAGGTATTCCTGTTTTAGAAACATTAATCTTTATTTGGACAGTTGTGTTTTCCATCTGGAATGTGACCTAGCTTAACTCTGATTATGTAACTTCCTGTAGCCTGTCTTTGCGCGTGACAGGTACATTTATCAAGTCCTAATAAAAGATATTTGGAAGCGCAAAGCAACGATGTTTTTCTTATTCTTAATAATCTGCTCGGGCTAACAACCGATACACTGCTAAACTTACGTAGTCTGACAGTCGAAGCTTCTGGGTTTTAATTATCCTGCCTGTGTCTCAGTGAAATCATCTACACCACAGGCAGTGCCGACGAGAGACCCTGGTCACACGGAGGAGGAGCCAAGTCTGGAGTCAATCCACAGTCCCCGGATCCTTCAAGCAACACAGGTCTGCCCCCCCCCCCCCCCCACACAAAGCAGGAAGTTGTAATGACGTCAGGTGAAGTGGCCTATCTCTATCACAAAGGAGAGGCTCCAGGTGGATGAGGATGTAGACCAAATCCTGCAGGTGCCAGCCAGAGGTGGAAAGGTCTGGTCCAGAAAGTAAAAATCCAGACCAAGAATTTGTTTTGGAAGTGTGACAAAAAATATAGTCAAGATCCTGGGATCTTTGACAATTTGCTGGAGGACACAGCTGCGCTTCAGGAAAATTTTAAGCCTGGGTGCACGAACGTGGAGTCCTGCCAAGGTGACTCTAGCCCAGGGGTCTCCAACTCCTGTCCTGGAGAGCTACTATCCAGTAGGTTTTCTGTCCCACGTGGCTTCTGATGAGCCACACCTGCTCCTGGTATTTACCTGAGAACAGGTGTGGCTCATCAGAAGCCGGGTATGATAGAAAACCTACTGGACGGTAGCTCTCCAGGACCGGAGTTGGAGACCCCTGCTCTAGCCTCTTTAAGTCTACAAGGTGCCAGCGATGTCAATGGAGGTGCCAGGGAGTCAGTTTATTTGGAGGTGGGTAGGAGTCCCTCAGACCATAAGCGGCATAGACCCGTACGGGCATTCTGGCAGGCTCAGGCCCTCCAACAGTGACTTATCAGTGGAAATTGAAGTCAACGAAGTCAGGGAAGCCACGATATACTGAGTCTCTGCAGATGTTAGGCCTGGGACATACTGGCTGCATGGTATGTGTGTGGCGGCTGAGGAAAGTGTTGGAGATGTGAGGCTCATGCGATTGCTTGCTGTTTAAAATTGATAAACTTTACAGTCTTTGTTAACTTTTCTAAATTAAACATTCTGTTATTAATGGCCAATATCAAAGGTAAACATTGATATATCAATATGTACTTAATTAGCGCAGCTTCTCCCTATTCTGTAGGCCCAGAATATTCCGTTCTGTTAGCTAAGCACCTCAGGACCACCTGAGACCTGTTACTTTTTGTCAGTGAAACCTGGAAAGTTTTGCTTTCCCTTTGTAGTTCTGGGGTCTTTGCCAAAACTATACAAAGTAACAATTTTGCCCCTGTCATGCTTTTCAAAGTGACTACATAATCACTTATCACACAGGTACATCTGTGCTCTGGAAATAGAGGCACAATGATAGTGAATGATCCAGGAAAATGATGCTTGGAAAATCCCTGTGGGAAATATCCTGATAAGAGATGTGAAAAGTGTATAAACATCAGTGTGATTCACAATGGGACACACTCCTGCAGGATGTCCAGCCTCGGTCGTAAACTCGCTGTGTTAATAAAGACTGGATCTGAAGATCTGCACAAGTGGCTCCTGACTCCTGATTGGCGGGGGAAGAAAAAAACACAACATAATTTGGCGTCATGAACAGGATTGGAGAAAAGACCATGGGAGGCGACCACCTGGCGGAGGAACCGCAGCACACCCGTCTGCCCTGAAGGGGGCGCCCTAGGGTTAGCTAAAAAGGGTTTTTATTACCGCATGAAAAGATAGGGAAAAGGATACGGGGGTGTCCCTGGGGACTGGCCAGGCAGGACCTCCCGGTAAGCGTACTCGCCTGGGGGAAGGAGAAACTGATTGGGTAGAATTCAGTGGGCCCAGTTTGTGTGTGTGTGTGTGTGTGTGTGTGTGTGAGAGAGAGAGAGACAGAAAAATCCCTAAAAGATGGGTCATGTGTGAGTTTTGCCCCAGTGCTAACGCCATAAAAGAGGGGACAGTTTAACCTGGGGGTTTGGGATATTGTCTCAAGACAAAAAGGCTTTGGAGGGGTAATGAAGATTTAAAGGTAACGCCCTGAGAGAGGGAACGGTTTAAGCTAAAGGCTTTTGAGTTACTCTTGTGATGTCTGGCAGGTCTGTGTGTTAATAGGTTGTTTAGAGACACCGCCCTTGATAAAGTCCGGTCTGTTTTGTGAAGTAACAGTTGTATTTCCCTAGAGAGATGGAGTCCATTTGTTGTACAGTAACACCCTAAAGAGAGGGGTCTGTTTATTTTTGTGGAGCAGAAACATTGTTTTTGTGAAGTAAAGACATACAGTAGTTGCAGTAGAAAATGGCCAGAGAGATCATGTGTAGTAAAAGTGATTCAGAAGTACTGGCCTGGAGGGAGGGAGTCGGTTTGTTTGTCTTAAGTTGTGAGGCAGAACTACTGTTACGTTGTAAAACAAAGGTAGTGTTTTAGGCAAACATAAATTTGAAGTAGATAAGGCCAGAGAAGGCCTGCGTGGTAAAAGTTGGAGATATTGTGTTGAGAGAAGAAGGTCCGCTGGATCGGACTGATTGTGTTATAAAAAAATACTGTAGGAGGAAAAGGTCCCAGAGCCCATTTAATTTAAGGGAGAAATATTATCCTCCTAAGACCCTACGTCCTCATATAAGGACATCATTTTTAGTTTAAAACTATTAATTGTTCAAAAAAAAGAACGTTTGGTTTTTATGATTATGAGGTCCTACGAATCCCAAATAGCTAAAGGAAATAAAACATGCACATCAAACAAAAGCCCAGTGGAGAAAGTGGACATACGCAGTTTTGGGCCGAGACAGAGGGACAGTGTGCTCAAATAGCAGATGAGTTGAGCATTAAAGTGCAGAAATAGTTGTCTTAGTAGTAAAAAGTGTATGGAATCTAAATTAGTAGGAGGTGAATTGATAGAGATGCAGAAGGAAGTATTTGCGAGCTTTAATGCAAAAACATTCTCTGTAGTATAAGTGTGGGTAGGTTACTGTAAAAGTTGGACAAATCTTAAACTTAAAGCAACAGTAAGGTGTTGCGATTGGAGAGTGCAACGTAGGAGTAAGTACTCGCGGGAAGAAGATGATAACTGGTGGATCTTTTGGCCGGGCTGGAGACCCGAGGAGTCGGAGAATGAAGTGTGTCACCGGTGCCTGAGAGAAGCGAGAGCGAGACGAGGATATTTCAGGAGACTAAAGATAACAAAACACGTTTTGTGAGAGAGCAGGAGCACAGAAAACGTAGGTTAGGTTTCACCCAGGAGAGGGAGTGAGTAGAAAACAAATAAATAATCTGGAGTTGTTATTGGAGATCGTACAGTGACGTGAGGATAGTGACACGAAAGGTGAAGTGGGAGAGCACCCATATTAAAGAGAATAAATTAATAATAATAATAATAATATATATATAAAATAAAGAAAAAAAATAATAATGATAAGATGATGATTATAATAATACAGTGCAGGGGCTGACTGTGAGGAAAATTTTGGTAACCTTTATATTTCAGTGGAAGAGAGCCCCAGTGAGTGTGGGGGGG